TGTAACATGAAGGGCCAGCTTGTTGGGATATCTGTCCCTCCCAGTACCCAACAGCCGCCATATCCCCCCAAAAAAAATCATACAGAGGACTCTATAAGATTATAAAACTGATTGGCCCATTAGCTCAGGCTTCTTGTTAACTCTTGTAGTTTATATTAACCCATTATTCTGATCTATGTTAGCCATATGGCTTGGTACCTTTTCCAGCTGTCAGCTCACATGTTGCTTCTTCGGTGATCTGGGCAGGAATGGCGGAGGGAGCTTCCTACTTCCCAGAATTCTCCTGTTCTCATTGCATCACCTCCACTTCCTGTTTGGTTTTCCCACCTATACTTCCTGCCTGGCCAATCAGCATTTACTTAAAATATGATTGACCGATTACAGACAATTCTCCTGCACCAAAGGGGATTACAAGTTATTGTAATTCCCATCCTTTCTCCTGTTTGGAACTTTAGAGTGATAATTGTTCTCTCTGCTTTGTGGACCAGAACTGGTCTCCTCCAACTGACCCCTGACAACCACCTTCATGCCCTCAAGTGGACCCCTTTTCAGGTTTTGGCTTGGTCATGTAACTTTTTTGATTAATATGAAATTATCAGAAATTTAGAAAGTACTGGTGCCCTGGACTATGTTGTCCCGTGCTACCATCTTGCCAGCAAGAATGACGCGACACACTTAGGATCCTTCTGCAGAAAAGCTTTAATGCGTCTTGAGAGAGAGAGCATAAGCTTACAAAGTGGAGACCCAGAATGAGGGGAACCCCTCCCTTATATAGGAAACAGTCCTCGCTTCGGACATGTCACTCTTGGATTGGTCCACTGCCCATCAACCCAGATGATGCCTTGGGAGTAGGCAGGGACGCAGCAGTGGAAAGTTACCAAGCACATGTGCATTATCTTGTTCACCAGGCGGTGAGGCCGGATGCCAGCACCATCTTGTAATGGAGAATGTGGTTGCAGCCCTCCACATCTCCCCCTTTTTTACTTCTTTGCAGAAAGGCAACTCCCTCAGAAGGCAAAGATAGAGGTCGCACTTCCCAGAGAGGAAACATTATAATGGGCTTGCACGGAATCTGCCCCTAGGTTCATGACACCTGGAACTTATCTGGCCTGCCCTCTGCCATTTTTATGGGAAAGGGAATATATGGCAGGAAACCCTTATGCAGGGCGACATATCTCTCAGAGAGGGCCATTCTCTGTGCGATGTTCTTCAGCTCGACAACCTTCAGGGCTAGCTAAGCCAAGCACTCCACCCTGTGCAATGGACCACTGTCCTAGGGGTGCAGGAGCTGGTTGGCATAAACCTTACTGCTTCAGCATAGATAACCACACATCAGTAGAGGCCCCCTGTTCCAGGGCAGCCAGCACTTGTGCAATAACCACTTTGTCCCTACGGCTTTGGGATTTGAATCAGCAGACCATCCAGAGGAGAAACACTATTCCACAGCATAGGGCTGCTCCAAACATTCCCACCCCCACCCATTCTTTGAAGTAGGAGATGAAGGACATAATCCAGGACTGGAATCCTTCGGCCAAGCTTATGTCCACTCGCGTGGAGTTGATTGTCACGATGGACCGTCACAAGGAGGACAGCAAATCATCAAAATTCTCGGTCCAATTTCCTGCAGGACACAAAGACAATTCTCGGGACAGGTTAGCCACTTTTATAAAGTTCTCATATGGTACACTGGTCACACATAAGGCTGGAGTTTTCCATTCACAGCCCAATTGGGCAAGCTGCCATAAGATATCCACCTGTTCTTGCACTAGGTCAATTCTTTGATTAAGAACCATTATTCCACCTCTAATAGATGCATCTATGGTAGCCTGCTGATCCAGGGCCGTAGTCACTGTGGTAGATAACTGATTGAGGGTCTCTATTTTCCATGGTATGGGCCGTGCTGCCCCAGTGGTGCCTAGGAAAAACCCAGGCCCTGTTTGTTGATATTAGGCTTAGGATTTATTGGCTCCCGTATTCCTTGCTTGGAGCAACCCAAGCCCTTTCCTGGCCTATGGACCACTCTTATCATTATATCTTGGGCCTGAGATGAATATTCATTAGATAAGGTCAATCCCATATCCTGCATCACATCTCTTCCCCATAAGTTGACTGGCAGGGGGAGGACATATGGTGTAAAATATCCTGACTGCCCTTCGTCCGTTTTCCAGGTTAATCTGGTGGAGCTAATGGTGGGGCTTGCACTGTAGCCCAAGCCCTGTAGGGCATGAGACGACATGGTAACGGGCCAGGACTGTGGCCACCAGCGCGATGAGATAATACTTTTGTCCGCGCCGGTGTCCAAAATGCCTTCGAAGCATTTACCATTGACCCAAAGGGGCAGTTTGGGTCGATCTTGAAGGCTAACAACCAAGTAGGCTGAATTCTGTCCTGTTGACCCCATTAATTTATTCTCTGGCCTCTGGTGGATGTCTGCCGGGAGAAGCAGTAACTGAGCTATCCTGTCTCCTTTACTGATGGAAAAAACTCCATTAGGGCAAGAGCATAGGGCTTGTATTTCAGCAGTGTGCTGACTATCAACAAGGCCTGGGTGGAAAATCAGTCCCTGTAGGGTAAGTGAGCTACGCCCTAAAAGCAGGCCCACGCTTCCAGGGGGTAGGGGCTCAGGCAGCTGCACAGGGACAGGCTGTACCCCCATTTGGGGCATCAATAGGAAGTCGGTGGAGGCACGCAAGTCCATTCTTGTTCTGCCTCCGAGGGTCCCTCGGTTGTTGCCCTGACGAACTTGTTCCCATATTTTTGGGGGCCCTGGGACCGAGGGCCCATCACCCCGTTTTTTTGACCATCAGTCTGTGGGTTTCCTAATGGTGGGAGGATCTTGCCATGGACATCCCTAACGAAGTGGCAGAGCTCAGCCCTATGATAACCTTTACCACAGCACGAGCAAAGGGTAGGAGGCACTCTCTCCTTTTCTGATGACCTACAATCCTTTTTTTAAATGTCCTGGCTTCCCACATTTAAAGCAACTCTTTTGTCTGGCCCTTTAAAAGGGCGTTTTTGTGACTGTATGATGGCTGCAGCCAAACCTGCATTCGTCAGGGGTCCTTCTAGTTCTCTACAGACCCTGAGCCAGTCCTGTAACCCTTTACTTTTCCTAGGGGCTATGGCAGCATGGCACTCCTGCGTGGCTTGCTCAAAAATGAGCTGCTCAATGAGTGGCGTGGCCATATCAGTATCGCCAAAAATGCGTCCTGCTGCCTCAGTCATTCTTGCCACGAAATCTGAAAAAGACTCCTGAGTCCCTTGTATAATCTTGGTGAGCGGAGTGCTCCCTTCTCCCTTTTTTTGACAAGGCTTTCCATGCTCTTATAGCTGTATCGGCTACCTGGCGGTAGACGCCATAAGGATAGTTTGTCTGGGCAGCGGCAAAGCGCCCTCACCCGGTCAGGAGGTCAAAAGTCCATTGTTGTTGTTCTGGAGTTAAGGCCTGAGTGTTAGCTCTGGCCTGTTCCTGGGCCACCTCATGCCACAGGGCTTTCCACTCCAAATATTGACCCATGCTGACGAGCGACGCTTTTGTAACTGTCTCCCAGTCAGCCGGAGTCATGGCAGTCAAGGCCAATCTGTCCAATTGGGCTAAGGTAAAATTAGCAGTCACTCCATACTTCCTGACTGACTCTGCTAACTCTTTTATTTGGTTGTACTCCACAGGTGCATGCACCCGCCTGTTCTCCCCTTCGTAAACGGGGAAGGCCAAGTGCAACTTTCTCTTGACCTTGTCAGGGATAAATGAAAAAGTCTTTGGCCCAAGGCGTTCCTCATAAGGAGGCGCCGGAGGGGCGGTTGGGGGAGGGTGCGGCTCATAAGGAGGCGGATGGGCCGTTCGGGATAACCTTCTCATGGCCCTACCGCTGGAAGACCGTGCCCCATTATGGGGATATCTTTCCCTCTCATATCTAGCCGCTTCTTCTAATTCTGCCTCCTCCTCTGTATCTAGTTCTTCTACCTCTTCTCCCGAGCCAGAACTTTCGTTCTCATGCTCACTTTCACGGTCACTTTCAATTTGCAGAGCTTTGAGCTCCTGCAGAGGATATAAACTACTGTTCTTTCCTTTTTTCTTGTTGTTGGTATCAGAAAGCTTTTGACCTTGTAGGTCAGTCTTCTCCCCCGTTTTTATTTTCTTAGAACCACTGGGGGGTCCTTTTTTCTTATCTGGGACTGTCCTTTACTTGCGTGCGCCCAACCTCTCACTGCGCTCAGTTTCTTACATGCTATCCTGGACTTCCTCCAATACAATTCATCCTTCTGTAACAACCGCCTGGCAGGATTCATCTTCTAAGCAATTCCTTGGTGATCCAAAAAGAAAAAATAAGAGAACTGCTAAAAGAAGTACCAAGGCCTCTACGAAACCTTCCCAAGGCGGAGACAAGTCAAGCCCAAAATCAAAAAGTCCAGGAATAGTCATACCTCTCTGAGCATACAGACCTGCAGTTCTGAATCCTCCTTGTGTCCAAGGGGTCTCCGGCGGTGCGAGCAGTGGTCAGGGTCCCCCAGCGTCTCGAGTTTTCGGCACCAGATGTCCCGCGCTACCGTCTCACCAGCAAGAATGACGCGACACACTTAGGATCCTTCTGCAGAAAAGCTTTAATGCGTCTTGAGAGAGAGAGTATAAGCTTACAAAGCGGAGACCCAGAATGAGGGGAGCCCATCCTTTATATAGGAAACAGTCCTCGCTTCGGACGTGTCACTCTTGGATTGGTCCGCTGCCCATCAACCCAGATGACGCCTTGGGAGTAGGCAGGGACGCAGCAGTGGAAAGTTACCAAGCACATGTGCATTATCTTGTTCACCAGGCGGTGAGGCCGGATGCCAGCGCCATCTTGTAATGGAGAATGTGGTTGCGGCCCTCCACACTATGTTCCTAATAGGAACTGCTCCTACATTGTGTGAACAAATCTAGCTTTATATTAAACATATTTAAAACAGTATTTGGGGTATGATGAATCTTTTATCTTTTTTCTTTCTGTTTTACAGTGCTGGGATTTGAACCTTGGACCTCTTGCATGCTAGGCAACTGCTCTGCCATTGAGCTATACACCAGTACTTATGCTTTGGGGTTGTGAGCTGAGAATTGAATGCAGGGCCTTGAGCAGCTAGGTAAGTGTTCTACATTGATCTATGCTCCTAGCCCAGAGACAGAAAGCTGCCTCTTCAGAAGAGGACAGAGAAAGAGAGAAAAGGGCCCAAGGCAGGCTTGCTTCAGTGGAGGGAGATAGAGATAGAGATAGATAGATAGATAGATAGATAGATAGATAGATAGATAGATAGA